CCATTTGTCGATCTATTTTACCGAAAAAATAAAGAATGAAACTCGCGTTGCTGCCATCACCGTCACCTCAGCCACTAGCCTTTGTTCTCAATCGTGCAAAACCACTATTCCAAACCATCACCCACCTTGAAAACTCTCATCTACTTGAGCTTCACATTTTCCATCACGTATGAATACCACGGCCTGGTCTCTCCTGCACTCTGAAAGTACATATTTATGTATGAGGTAGCAAGTACGCTCGTTGGAAAATGGTATTCACCCGCAAATCTCAGCTGAAGAGGAATCCAAGAATCGAACCCCGTTCAAGTGCCCTTCAGTAACAATGCAAGCTCTCTTCTGTTTACATATGTAAATTTTTGTTAGTGGATCGATAGCGTTAATTAGGGTACGCTTTCGCAGATGTGAGTGGGACTCATCCCCATCGTCATCCGGCCACTATTCTCCCTCAGTGCAAACAAAGCATCCCTGGATCCCCAATTCCTTGATTACAAAGAGTCTTGATGACCCAACCTGTTCGTTATTTTTCTCTGTATTGGCCTGTGCTCGCTATTGTCGATGATCGAGGCAGCTCTAAACACCACTGCATGTACGTTAGCACCTTTGAACTACCCAGGACCAGCTCGCCATAATCATCCACGATGGTGTATAATCATATGTGTGGTGTACAGAGCCAAGCCCACCTTATGGTCTCACACCACTCTCCACCTAACACTGTCCTCTCCCTGGCGGCAATCCTGACTGCCCACCGGGCAACAAACAAAGACATTACGTGCCCTCGCGCCTTCCACGATTACCATCATTAAGCTTTTCCCTCACCCTCATCTCTCTTCACTCCACTACCATCACTGTTTACTGGGCAACAATATCAAATTTTACTCCGTCCATAACATCCACTATTCAGCACACCACTCGTTCCTTTTGAACCTCGTCCTGTGGAAGAATTTTCTCATCTTGTGATAAAGGTGAATTCATCTTGGGTGAATTCATCGGATATCCATTTCGTCCAGTTTGCGTAACATTTGGATACTCATGCATTTGCATTACCCGGAATCCAAGTTCTGACAATCGTTTGTACCTCGATCTCTGTCTTTCTCGTAGTACATCAGTTGATATTCCCACATCTCGCTCTTTCTCACTTTCACGTTCTGTGTGTACACAGTGGTGTGGGATTAGGTTATAGCGGTCAAGACTTTGATATGCTAAGTGTACGAATGATTCGTCTGGTTCGCCTGAAAGGGCTCAGCGGTGAAAGGCACCCACGAGAAAGCCAATTTCCAATCTGCATGGCAAATCTCTGGTCTCCTTGCTCCCCCGGTTGATCAATCAAGTGGGAATAAAAAATAATTGAGTAATATACCAGGGGAAAAAGAAGAATAAATACATACTTTGTATATTCATCGATGATGCGGTCGGCCAATATTTTTTTACCTGAAAAAGGAAAAAATAACCTCCTATACTACTACACGACTACTATACCTCATCGATGTTCATGCTGTTTTCGGGTTGTCATCATTTCGATTGCCACAGCACTTCCATTAAGGGCTGAATGCCTCCAAGCTCAGCGAGCATCAAAGACTAGAGGAACGAGGTCACATTGACAAAGATTCCAAGATTTCTCTGCTCTTTATCATCTTTTTTCTCTCATTTTTTTCCCTTTTTTTCTCATCTCTTCGAGGTTTTCTAGTTTGTAAATTAGGCGCGTCCATTGTTTCTCAGATATTTACGCTTCAAGACAAAGGATTTTGCGACGAGCATCCCAGAGGCTGGTGGAGGGAAACCTCTGACGGATAAGAGGCCCCTTGTAAAATGCGTCCAAGGGATTAAAAATAGGGAGTTGCGGTGTAAGAGAGATATGACGATGGAGGGAAAAAACAGGACAGAGACAATCTGGAAGGAAAAAAATATGGTGGATGAGGACAAAACAACTACCGCCGACAGGGGGTAACGCGATACGACATATTCATCATAAAGCATAACGCGGAACACCTCCAACGCTCATAGACATGTCAAAATTGCTCAAAGGAGGGTTTCCCACGAGACCCTCATACCTTCGTATAACACACACGGAAGTATATGCTTCTACAAAAAAAAAAACCCGAACTCAGGAGGGGCTTCTACTCTTCAGTCAGCGTCTCATTATTTGACGTTTTGCCAGGGCTATAGCACACGACTATTATTACGAAGGGGATTTCATACAGTGATGAAAGATGAATGCTGAAAAATTATGAGTATGCGACCGGACATAATTTTACAGGGAAATCTGATCCTATGGTGGTTAGATACCGTTAATGGTTCGAGAGACGGGTATTTTGGGCATTCACTAGAATAAACAAAAAAATCTCTCGGGCTTTTCTTTATTGGGGAGGTACCTTTCTAGATTTCACTCACAGAATGATAAGTTAATAATAATCAATCGCAATTTTTATTGATTGAAAAAATGAGATATTAAGTTTGAAAAATTTGACTGATACTTTTTTAAATAATAAAATAGTTTTCTTGATAATATTTGGTGTTCAACGTGAAGATGTCTCTCAAGAATATTTTTAGCCATGCGTGTCGATTGGAATGTGAGGATCTCCACCTTCTCCTGGTATTTGGAGAGACTCGAGGGTGACAGCCACATGTACATGCTTCGATGACTCAAGGACATGGGGGAGACATGTAATTCGGTGGATTTAATTAACCTATTTGTAACCGTCAGGAGTCTCCACGAAATAGTGAGAAATCCAGAGAGTCACGTAAACAAACCCCGTCTCGAGAGGCGATTGGAAGGGGATGAGTGGGTGGGAGGGATTTTGAGAGGAAGTGTGATGGGTGGTGGGCCCTCACGGATTTCTCGGATGGCCGATTAGATCGTCTGAGGTATACATATACATGCTATAGATCGCTCCATCGGGAGAATCTGAAATTGCGTTAACCTCTCACCCGACTACTCGAAATCCGTTTCGCCGACTGTGCCCCTGGCACATGGGGCTTTGTATGGCCACATACCAATACGTGAAACGTATGTAATGGATATTGAGAGTTTATCCATCAGTCCGTGGTCAAGTGCTTGAGTTGCTCCATGCAAAAGTACGCTACAATTGTGAATTCAGTCTTAACGGGATGATATTCCATTAATTTCCATGAAAACCACCACTTTTCATAATTTCTACAATCACCCTGTGAAATCTCATAAAAATAAAACGAGATAATATTATTTGAAATAATTTGATATGCTAAATTATTTATACACCGGTTGCAAGGTGTACTTCATGCAGACGTTCGACGTAATAAATCAAACAATGTTCTTTTCTCTTTATGCGGCAATGTGAGCTCTACGGGGAAAAAATGAAACTGGGCTGCTGGTTTGCATCCATCCGGGGTTGAAACCGAAAATTATGCCATGTGAATGAGAATTTATCGTCTTTAAATGTGCAAATGCCAGAGGCGGGATACGTTTTCCAGGCGGCGGCAATGCAATTAGATGCAGGAAGGAATCGCCTTGGAGGCGAATAAATGCCACATTGACTTTGTGCATGTGTTCGTATGTACTATATATATTCATGGAGTAAAACTCAGCGGTAAGATTTAGCCAAAGGGCGAACGGTTTGGTTTTCACAGTGTTACCGGTAAGATCTGGATTCGTAGTGGTTGGGGCGAAAGGAGATCGCGCTCCAGAGAGTCGCTGATTCGAGATATAGATAAGACGGTCGCGCCGGATAAGTCGCATTACCGTAACCATCGGTTTTGTATGAAAGGTGGGATGGAAAGGTGGTTAGGGTTGGTGAGGGGTTGAGGGGAGGGCAACCCTGTACCTTCGGGCAAAGCTCAAACGATACTTTTCGCCCCTTCTTCCAAACCTTTTGCCGCTTGAATTAATCTACAAAATAGAATTTCCATTTCACTCGATTATTCTTAATCCTTCCTCCGTTCCCATTGTTTCTTTACCGCTCTCTTCGTTTGTAATAAGAATATTTCCCTCTGCAAATCACGCGGTTGCAGTTCCTGGACACCAGGTGATTGTAGCTGAGAAAAAAAAAACCGAGAATCAATAAAGAAAGTTGCATTGTAATGAAGGAAGAAATCAATAAATCCTGGTAAAACAGTATTTTGAGGATAACCTGAGAGTCGAGATGGGTACAAAGTTCATTAGTTGTTCGACAAGAAAATGTTCGTGAGCGTATTCTTCGTTTTACACCGGAGAGAAAATATTCTCCCGGGACTTTTCAAGTTCTTTTTCTCCTCTCCTCCATCGTAATTCCCTTAAATCAATTTAAAAGAAGTTGGAATCCATTTAGGTCAAACTTGTGCTTATTGAGAAAAGAGAAAATCAAACTATCTTGAAGTTTTAAATGAAGAAATTGAACGGAGTTCTCATTAACATACGCGATTAACCCAAACACTTTTGATGAGGTCAATTTTTCATTTCCCCAGTTTCCGCATCTCAATTAATTGAGCAGAAATTCATTGAAGCTCAATTTAACGCCACTTGCCTACCATCAGAACGAGTATGATTGAAATTTAGCTACGTTGAATATATATAACTAGTTACCATCAATTCTATCGTTTTTTATTTTTGATTTATGAATTATTTGCTCGGCGGCTGGATGTGTACACGTACGATACAAACTGAAAATCGTACATTTATGAGCAACCGTACCATCGGCCCCTGCAATGCCAGATTTAACGAAGTTGGAGCGCATGGGCATGTCTCCAGTACTATAGGCAATGGTACGCCAATTGAAGTGAGGGCAAAAGAGGATGAAAGAGGTCAGAGGGAAATGACGGTAGAGTTGGTGATTAAGCGAAGAGAAACTCAAACCGAGTTCGATTAATTTCTAATTACTGGCTTCAATTATTCCCACCTGACACATATCCAACTGGAATTACCTTAATTATAATACAATCGAATGCCCAGAAAATTTCACCGGCGAATGGTGTCATACATTCAGACAATTATCAGTTGATGGAAACACGTTATTAAACTCATTTCCATTGATGGATCATCTCATACGTACCATATAGCGAGTTCAATTTAATTGTCCATTCTCTGGCATTTGCCGGTGGGAGCGCTAATGAAGTAAACTGCTTCTCTCCTTGAAATATCGTTAATTTGTATACAGCTCATATAAATCGATTCTAGCCTGTTAGAGCTGTGTGCACTAAACCGAACAAATCGAATTAATCCGCAGTAGCGTGTTGAACGACTCGCGCCGAAGCCACTCCGATCTATTATTGGAAATACGTTAAAACTCGAGTGTGCGATTTCACCAGTCTTCTACTACGAGTGTAATACAGAAGTTGAGTACGGTTGGTGAAATAGAAAAATACAAAAAGAAAGAATGAAAAAATAGATCAGCGAGTGGGGTAGGGAGTTGAAGAGGTGGGAGTTGGGTATTTTAACGGGATAAAATAAGATCCGCACATTTCTGTGACCTGCGATCAACCGCAGTGATTAGATAATCGATAATTTCACGGAGAAACTTTCTCAACCTAGTGTGCTCCGGCATTCTCAGGGGTCAACTCGCGGTTTTGCATGCGCGGACCTATGGAGTTGAATTTTCTTAGCTTTCACTTTTCGTCATGTTTGTTATAATCGCTATTTCATTCCTACCATTGATGTTTAAGTGGATTATTTTTTCTGTAATTGTGGAGTAATGTAGATGCCGATCATCCAATGAGGCCACCATCAGAGCTCTTTGTCCTCATAGTTTCAGATTTACAACGATTATCCATTCGGCCAATGAACTTCCGGGAGTGACGGAGAAATAGATGAGGAATAGAGTTACAAATAATCTATGTGATAATGCATTATGAATAGGCGTGTATTGAGAATTGCGTGGCCACCAATCCGCTCGCGCATGAGGGCTCATACTGGTATGGAGTTGTAAAGGTGAGAACAAGCCGACGTGTGTGGTCAAAATGTTGGGGGATTTTTACAAATTCGTTCGACCTCGACTGTATGCTTTTGCGGTATGTGAGAATGTTCTACAGGATCAATTACGGATATGACTCAGAACCGCAGTGTAAAAAATATCACCGTATCTGATTTTAAATACTGAATTTTAGATTGGTGGGTTCATTGGAATTTTTCATAATTAATCCAACGTACCTCAGTCAGATGACATATTGAAATTTCATTTCGTTTCTTTTTTTGTCTCTCAAATTGCGCTATTCCGAATCTTTTTAATACATGCCTGGTAGATTTCATGAATGTCTCCAATATTTCTGAGACAGTTCTAAATCCATTTAAAAAGGTCGAAGTCATTTGAGAACCAAAATTACACGAGAAAATTATGTCCATGAATTTTGATGGATCTTCCATTTCTCAAGCCATGAATGCGGAATCGAAGAAATGAAAGATGAAACGATCATTTTCGTGTCACTTCCTTTTTGCCGCCTCGCTGTTTTTATTTCTCTTTTTTCTTGGGAATGTAAATGAGAATGCGTGTGTATTTGTTCCGGTCAAGAATGTAAAACCAAGTATTTGCCTTCAGCGCTAGTTTATATTTACCCTGTGAAGAAAAATGTTTATTCTCAATGATACGTATACCCATTCTCCTCGCTAATCTCACGTCACAACTTCTCAACGTATTATTATATTGTTATTTGAAATAACCTCTGACATAAGCTGATACAATATAAATATTTTTCATGTACTTAGAAGAGAATTGCTCTGAGGCACACTAGTAGGTGATTACGGATATTGGCGCAGTTACTCTGAACGACGATCGTGAATAGACTATCTAGTTTTCAAATTTTTATCATTTGTATCCTCAACAACTTTACCTCATTAGAATTCTCTGGAGTATAGTAATCTCACCAATTCATATTTTTAATTATTCTCCGATGAAATTGATCAACTATTTCCTCAGCTAACTGAATTATGGGTAGGCGGAAAAAATATCCCCGGAAAAAATAGCCCACACACCCAAAACGTGTTAAAACCCACCCAACTTGATAGGCCATAGGAAAATTAGAGCCCCTGAAAAAATAGACAACGAAAAAAATAATTAAATTAAAAAATAATTAAATCGAGCGAGTTTTAACACGTTTTGAATGTGTGGGATATTTTTTCCCTGGGATATTTTTTCCGGGATTCGAATTATGATGGTAGGAAAAAAAAAATTTAAAAAGCGCCTCGCTTACATCTATTTTGTTTTGCCCCCGTTCACTCACTGATGTCAGGTCTTTGTTGTACACCAGAGTAGAAGAACTTCGATATAAATCAACTCACATGGTACAATGTGTCTAAGCTGTGATTATTGGCTCAGATGAATTGTGAATAAAAAAACAAGAAGTATTAAATAACGGAGAAAAAATGCGGAAAAAGTATTGGAGCACTAGAGGTGTACTGTAGGTTCTATAAATATGAGAATGAAAAACAACGTCTTCTAGATTCGGTTCATTGAAAAATTTCTTTACCCCGGTATTACAAAGCTGTAATCACCAGGCTAGGAAAATTTTCTCGTGATATGCCAACTACAATTTTTCCGTATGCTGTAGCTCACCCTAGTTCAACACCATAATAGCCCATAAATAAAAATGAACGACGAGAAAATTATATTTAAAAAAAAAACAAACAGAAATCAAACATATGATATAAAATGCCAAATACTCAATTTAAATCTACCACAAGAGATAATGCAAAACCAATTTCCAATGTTTCGTCTCATTCAATTGTCGTTATGGTCTTGCATCACGATTTCCATATACCCACGCAAGCAATTTCAAAATATTTTATAACTCAGAACTAGCGTCAAGCACGCGTTATAATGTAAGAGAGAAGTGCTGGTAAAAAAAAAGGTAAGAGGGAGTTCTAATTTATTTTTCCCTTCTTGGAGATTCTTGGTATAGGTTTTCGAGGATCACCTTTCCTGCATTATCCTTGGATGCTTCTACCATGGAGCCCCTTCCGGTATCTTAAGAACAAGTCCGTATCAATGCCGCAATTTTCCCGTCAAGCCTTTTAACTCGATAATAAAAAAAATTACAACAACGAGAAATGGAGAAAATACGTAATGCATTCGACTGGGCTCTTGCTCTCCCATACTATGTAAAATACCTTTTTTCCTGTAGCCTCCTACTCTTCCTTCTCGTTTTATCTCCTCAGAACGATGGTGGATTTTGACCAGAACAGTCGACATATATACCCGCAAAACGTGCCCGAAGTGGAATCCACAGTGGCCATAAACTGGGTGATATACATCTTGATATGCCAGCACTTTGCGTAACATTTTCTACATACCAACGGATCATTTTCTAAATATCATTACAGCATAACTCATATCCCTAGTGCATCCGATTCCCATGCATAATTTGTCAGTTAAATTTACTCATGAAATATCAATTTCCATAAATGTATCATCCACCAAGAGTTTAATCTACTTTTATGATTCTCCTTACGAAGTACGAACTATAATCGTATAGTGAGGATTCTCGCTTATTAAATTTCAAATTGTGGCGTTCTGCATGTCTATTATTAAATCATTAAATTTCTGAGAAAAAAAAAGAGGGAAAAATCATTATTTTGCATTACAAAGTATGAAAACCTTTTCTCTCGTAATTCCCAGTGGAATCTCTAGTGGTGACTCAAACGTTTTTTTTTTAATCCTTTCCGTAAGTTTTTTTAGCATTGCCGTTGAAATTGAAAAGCCTTAATATTGGTGACGTAATATTTTGAGCAATAATTTTGCCAGTTGCAATATTTTTGCTTCCGTTATTTTGATAAGTAACCTTGGTCTTGTGCAGGTGTTTTCAGAACAATTTTCCATGTCGGGAGTATTTTTTAAATGGAAATATTTATAGTCAGTACAATGACCATAATCAACCGTGTTTCCTTGAGAAGAATTCTAGAAAGATCGGAAAAGGGAGATTACTTGGCGAGATATGACCTCACTGACGATCCATCAAATCGCAAATAAATCTCAAATCGTCTCAAAGCTACATACCAACTCAGTATGCGTGGCATCATGCAGTTTGAGTGCACAAAGTGGAACATAAATACCCTCCCCACCTCCCAAAGAAAATAGTCCCAACGTTTATGACTCTCGATAAACTCAATTGTCCCAGAGTCTTCTCTTAACTTTGATGGGTGCCCAACGGGAGTTTTTCGAAACTATCGGTCGTTCAAGTTTCAGAGAGGATGGTGAAAGAGAGAAAAGAAACGGTGAACGCCGGGGGTGGGCGTACCGGGGCGGATGAGTAAAAAACGAGCGGACGTATCGCTGGGAGTTTCCATTTGAACTTGGCTCCGTTATCGTCAATTTCGACTCTTATCCCCGGCGCGTGTAAAAACGGCCACTTCGTGCCTCCAGTCACGAGAGAGCCCCTTGCACAAGAATAAAAAGCCCCTTTCACCCGTCCACCCCAGTCGCTGTATACCTCTCCTCCTGCTGATTTTTTGCTCTTTCACTCCACCCCAATCGTTTTATTTTGTCCGTCTAGTGTACTCCAACGAGTTGGCCCCGGTGCGACCAGCCACTTCAATCCCCAACTATTTTCACTACCATGTGGAACAATCGGAGAAAAGTTGAACTGGCGGTCTCAGTTGCAGGCGCTCCTCAGAGGTCAGATAGCAAGCGACTTTGTCACGTGGAGAACTTGTCGTATTGCAGGTAGCCAATTCAACATTTCGCTCCCTTCTATCCGCTTTCCTTTGCACCTTTGGTGTGGCCTCGACATATATACATGCATCATACTACAATTGCTTCATTCGGTTCATCAGGACGAAGCCTGCATGTGTCACAAGTTATGTGTCACAAGTGTGATCATTCGGGTCAATGTCGTTATTTTATAAATTGCTGTTACCGCAAATTTACTGAAATATGGTCTTGAAGGGGAAGTCTAATAAATCATCAAAATAAATTCTCTTTATGGAAATCCTTCTATGGTCTACTGACAGATTGACAAGCGTTCGTCCATCGGGTTGACTTGGTATTCATAATCCTAACCGATTGACGTTGACAAAGTGTCGATATTATATTTATAATTGTGGACGAACTTCCGGGATGGAAAATCGGGCGATCGAAGTTTAATGACTTTGATGCAACAGAAATATGAACTGCCTCTATTTCAGATAATACCGGTGGATGGTGTAATTTGGAAATTGAAAAAAATGGTGAATCTGGGGACAGGTGGAAGTTGAAAGGTAGAAGAAATCGTATAGTTGACCTGGTAGTAGGACATCATCGGCAACCCCAACCGACTTTGGTACGACACTAAATCAATTAAAGTGGAAAAAAGTGCTTGATCGATAGAACTGA